TTTTGAGGTGACAGTTTACATCACAAACATTTTATTTAGGTTCCTATTGTCTGATTTCACGTTTCTTTACTTTGTACATTGAATTCCTTTTATAGTTGGTAGCTGTGTGGTATCTGATAGAGAATTATGTTCTAAAATGATTGTTTTTCACAAATGCTGTTTTAGTTTGATAACAATTTTTCTCTTTTATTGTAATTCCCTAATTTCCACACTTCCTGTAGATCACCTGGAATATAAAAAGAAAAAGAAACACCCCAGTAAAGATTTTCATGTGGAGGGGTCTTTTCTGTATTTCTTCCATCAGTGGATGCAGAGATTTGGAACACAGGCTGTCACACGAAAACTATGTCAGATTTTCCCTCCCCCCAAGCTGATGCCATTACCCAAAGTTAGGTATCACTTTAAAAGAAACGAATTAATTTGTGAATTACACAATTTATTTGCGATCAGCAAAATGAAATATTAATCTCCCGATGTCTCCTAAAAGGACACAGAGAAAACAGAAGAAAATAGGACCATAACTAAAATGAAGAATCTTTCCAGTTGGCAAGGGCAGCACCTTGCAGGAGAAGCTTCCCTAGGGAGGAGTCTCCCTCACCTCCCATGAGACACTGAGCCCAGAGTCCCTACTTTCAGAAGAGAGGTTAGAGCATATTCCTTCCAACACTGCCGTGCACTCGTGTCAGGTGCCCTAGAAAGCCTTCTCTTCAGGCAGATGCTGATAAGCCCCAGAGGGACAGCTTGGTCCCTCTCTCAGTTCCCAGTCTTCTCCATGCCTCCTTAGCCAGCTTGCTATAACATTTCACACCTGGGAACATGACTTGCAATCAGTTGGTTTTTTAGGTCCTTTCTCGGCTGTTCCATCACAGCACAAAGGATCCAGATTACATCAAGGAGAAGCTGAACTGCACAGGTGAATGATCATAGCTTGTTGATGGTCACACTAACCTTGGTTCCCAGCAGAATCACCTTAATCAGCTGGAGATTGGGAAAGAGGAAGAATCACACAGCTAACGCGAAGCATTTGGGGACTGCAATGAGAGATGCTGTGTAAGAGGTGTGCTCTCTATCTGTCCTGCTGCAAATGAGGACAGAAATAGAAAATCACCATTGCTTTATCTCCTGTTCCCAGCACATGCAGTTTCGTGGTCCAGCCCTCCAGCGAGCCCTCAGGAGCCACCAACCAGACTGAGGCTATCAGAAAATCAAATCTTCTTTACTGAGGATTCCACTGGAGTTTAGTCAGGAATAGAAGTGAGGATTCTGCAGCCATCACAAAAAGCTGGGAAAATAAGATCCAGGTCCCAACCTTCAGTGCCATCTGTGAGTCTAAATGTGGGAAATGACTTGGTTTCCTTATTTAGGCATGTTGCAGCTCCAAATCTTTGGTCAACTATCAGTCCATTACTACCACTCTTCATTTATCAAGAAGAGATGTACCTCTATTAATTCTAAACATAAATACTCATCATTCATGCTCTCTGTGAATAGTTCTGGGGGAAAATAGATGCACAATTGAAAACATTCAATAAAAAGTGACAATTTGATTAGTTTTGTTTCAGTGGTGGGGACGTAGCTGTGCCATAAACATTAACTTGGGAGAAATGACAGTAAAACAATAGAAAATTATCTGAGTTATGAATAAATGGAATATTTAAAATAATTTTCTAGCCAAATAAAATTATAGGAGAATGTATTTACATTTTTGAGAAATTTACATATGCTGTTTATTTAATTCTTGCGAACGCAGCCGCAACAAACAAAACGTCTGTGAGAATATCTTCATTGCAGTGAAGTATGAAGCCAACTTTGTCTCACTAAGTTTGTCTCATACTTTTGTTTCATTAAGCATAGAATAGAAGGCAGTATCTGGTAACTGGAATATGCTGCAAATAGGCATAAATATTATATTTATTGAAGCCTGGAGATTACATCTTTGAAGTCAGGATGAAAAAGGTAGCGTAAGAAATGAGACAGTTTTTAGATACTGGTGGACAAAGTGGGACGAGGATGAGATGTTCAATGATTCTTTAAGTTTCTTTTTATGGGACTTGTTTGTTGACTGTCTTCTATTATTCTGTTCATTTCTGCTCTTCCCTCGCAGTTCATTTCTCCAACAAAATCTTCGCAGGTGCAAGACCACCACCCTCTTCGACCAGGTACGTCTATAGTGCCCAGTGCTTAGGAACATTCAACAGTTCTGTTCATTTATTATGAACGTTAACGCTTTGGATAAGCTACAATTAAATCAGAATGACTCTCAACTCCTCATAGTTTAAGCTATCTACGCCATTTATCTAAACCCTTATCTCACAGACAACTGTGCAAAGACTCGGCCTATAACGATAAATAAATTAATTACTTTGTAATTCTCCTTTGTAACTTGCAGAGTCCTTCCGTTCACGTGAGCTATTGACTAATCATCCATTTTATGATTCTGCCCCTCATTTTAATGACTATACTTTACTGGTGGATCACTACACATAAAAAATCTGCCAATCCATCAAATTTTGACTGTAAAAAGAAAAGGGAGTCCAACAAGTTTCTGATGCTTTGTTGAAAATAAAATTTTTCTGATGTATTTGCTTAGAAAAATAAATAAATCTTTAAAAAAAAAAGACTATAGGCATCTCAGTGTTAAGGAAGGACCTGTTTCTTTCCTGTCTTGCTTCAATGAGGTCACGGTGATCCAGATCCTCATATTTTTGATGCAGGTTTAAAAATTGGCTTTAAGAACTGCAGAATAAGATATTGCCAATGCCAGATAGTTACATGCTCCGTTATTCAAATTCAGAGTGTAACTGAAAAATCTAAAGCTTTGCAGGTCAACACATTCCTCCTTTGTGGAAACATCTGCTACAGAAAGCAGCTAATTACCAAATGGCTGACAAACATGAAATCAGAGTTCCTGCTTGCTAGGAATGTCAGTGATGGATCACTGGCCTGAGCTTTCAACATGGAATCATCAACTCCGATCCTCGTGGCGGTTGGCTGCCTTGTTCCCAGCGCAAGCATTCACTGCCAGATGCTACCCACTCTGAACTGATGTTTACATTTCATTTGGATCACCCCCTTCCCTTTCCTTTCTCCAGGAATGTACCCTATATTCTCGAATATATTTAGTTATCCTGAATGAGTAACACCTCTTGACAATTTAATCCAAGGAGCTACAGTGGATGCTCAGAGTCCTCCAAGCTCTCTGGCTACACGTTTCCTGAAATTGTTTTCTTTTCTTCTCTGGGATGTTATTGTCACAGGTTCCATGAATTCACAAGCTCGACTCGTAGAATTCAATCCTGTGTTTTATTACTGAGGTGTCTTCAGGGACCATTCCTTAACGTGTCCCAAGCACTGACGACAGTTAGGGCAGAACTGGCCCTAAGCATCTCTCTCCTTACGCTGCAATGTTCCTCACGTAAAAGGCACACAGTCCTCAAGTCATTCTGCTCTTGCAGTGACACTGACAAGTGTTTAACTGTTTTAAATTAGAAACTAGCAAGATTTATTAGGAAAACGGTGATTCGCGGTCAAAATGCCTAATTCATCATTTCAGCACGCCACCAGTTCATAGATTCACTAGCTGTCCATTAAGTTCTTGGTGATGTCATTTATCACGTGACAAACTGAGTTATTCATTTTTCAATAATTTGTTTCCATTAACGACTTAGCGGGTGACAGTTCTAGCGCTGAGGTCAAGTGCTGTTTTTCTGGTTAAATGAAAACGTATTATGTTTTGGATTTTTACGTATAGTGTGTGCTGCAAATAAAAACAGGAAAATTAACAGCTTTATGGGTCTGTTTTTCTTTATTTTCATTTTAGTGAATATCCGATCTTGAGAAAATCCACAAAAGGGATCTGGACAGATAACGCATAAGGAGCTATGCCTATAGGTATCTTTCAAATATATGTTTATAGATAGCTACCACACGAGCCCTCCAAATCCTGAGCGCACATGGAAGTACACACATTTATATCAGAATCCAGATTTGTAGCCTTAGGCTGCCCGAGGAGCCCCAGAGTTCCCTAATGTCAGTGAGAAGCCATAGGGAAATTCCTGTGGTGAATTAGTAATCCTATGAATCAACTAGTTGACCACTTGCTAAATCGCTAAGTATGCACTGTTTACATTTTTCAAAAGTGTAGCATTTGGATATATTCTAGTATATGCATACATATGTGTACATGTATACACGCATACATAGAGACACCTGAGAATCCTCCAGTGCAAGTCACGTAAACGGCACATAATACAAAACCTCTGCATGCGTTTCATTTCTTTTGCATAGTACTCATTTCATTGTCCACGAAATTTGAAGTACCTCATATATGTAAAAATATAAAACATTGGCACATAAAGTGTAGCTGCTACTCAATTTTTACTACCAACCTAGGGAATTTATTTCATTCTGTATAATACCCAGACCTCACAGTGTACTCCAGAAATGCATAGTTACAATTTATCAGTCAGAAAACTCAGCATTTTTCTAAAAAATCCTAATTTCTTGATTTGCTTCCCGTGAACTCATGTAAGACAAGTTCTAGACTCTAGACAAAATTGAGATAGTGATGGGAGCGTGATCTTGATGGAGTGAAATCATCTTTTTCACAGCTATTCTCGTTGTAAATCTCTTCAATTAATAAATATGTCCAGTATCCTGTAACTGCCTTCAGACTTGCACACATGAAGCTCTGAGATAGTGTGTGACTCATGCTTATACTATTTGTATCATTTGACATTTCTTAACTTCATGAGAATGTCTAGGTAGTGAGTGACCAGTGTACATATTGTTGGTCTGAAATTGGATGTCATAAGAATTTATCTTGTGGATAGATAGAATATGGATGTTTCATTGGTAATCATTTATTTATAATTGGGTGGATTCTTAGAGGCATTTAGTAGTAATATTCCAGATACTATTAATACACGAAACAGCAACAGCAAAACTTGGTTTGAAGGTAACTGCATCACAGCTAACTGGTTGCTTTCTTTCATAGAGAAATGAAGGAAAATCAAACAGCAGTCACAGAATTCATCCTCTTGGGATTTTGCTTCGGTCCAAGGATTCTCTTGATCCTGTTTGGACTTTTCTCTCTCTTTTACTCCTTCACCTTGCTAGGAAATGGGGCAATCCTGGGGCTCATCTCACTGGAATCCAGACTGCACAGCCCCATGTATTTCTTCCTCTCACACTTGGCCGTGGCCGACATCGCCTATGCCTGCGACACAGTGCCCCAGATGCTGGTGGACCTCCTGGATCCAGCCAAGCCCATTTCCTTTGCTGGCTGTGTAACACAGACTTTTCTCTTTTTGACACTTGCTCACACTGAGTGTCTCCTGCTGGTGGTGATGTCCTGGGACCGGTATGTGGCCATCTGCCACCCACTGCGATATTCTGCCATCATGAGCTGGAGACTCTGCACCATCTTGACCATCGCTTCCTGGACCTGTGGCTCACTCCTAGCCCTGGTCCATGTGAGCCTCATTCTGAGGCTGCCCTTCTGCGGGCCTCATGAAATCAACCACTTCTTCTGTGAAATCCTCTCTGTCCTCAAGCTGGCCTGTGCCGACACCAGACTCAACCAAGTGGTCATCTTTGCAGCCTCTGTGTTCATCTCAGTGGGGCCCCTGAGCCTGGTGCTGGTCTCCTACACGTGTGTTCTGCTTGCCATCCTGAGGATCCAGTCCGGAGAGGGCCGCAGAAAGGCCTTTTCTACCTGCTCCTCCCACCTCTGTGTGTGGGGCTCTTCTTCAGCAGTGCCATTGTCATGTACATGGCCCCCAAGAGCCACCACCCCGAGGAGCAGCAGAAGATCCTTTTCCTGTTTTACAATTTTCTCAACCCCATGCTGAACCCCTTCATTTACAGCCTGAGGAACGCAGATGTCAAGGCTGCCTTGAAGAGAGTGCGACACAGAACAAGCAATGCCCAAGTGATCTGAATTGTGAGAAAGAGTCTCCCAGTCTGTATTCCTACTTACTGCCCGCGTCCAGAGAAGGCCTCTGTTCTCTTGTTCATGCTTTAAAGACGTAATAAGCTTGCCTCCCTCCTTTGCAAGAGAAAGTTAACTGTGTTACTCTCATTGACTTCCTAAGAGATGCACTGAGTCAGATAGATTTTGCTTTGTTGTTTTTCATTGATCTGTAAAATAATTAAGTCTATTCAATCATATATTTATGTTACGCATTTACACGTTGAATTAATATGTAAAAATGACTATTATTTTAATTCATTTTCAGGACCCAAAACTTGAATGCGCTACACCTGCCACATCACCCTTGCTGTATAAACTTGCCAGCTTCGGGAGCCCTAACATTCGAAGGCAGACAGAATAGTGGGGTCAATGGATGTGATTAACACAACACAGAAGCGCTTGTCCATTCTCTGAAAGCTGTCTTTGCTTTGTTAAAAGATACTCTGAGATGTTCAGTTAACTGCGATGATCTCAGTTACGCAATTTTGCATGACAAGATTAATTCAGGCAGATAACTCAGAGGCTGAGTGAAAAATTGCACAAAGCAAAGTAAAAGAGAAGAAAGGAAAAGAAGAAACCCTGCACTCACGTGAGAGCAGTTAGCACTGCCAATGTGATGCCAGCTGGTCCGCTCCCAGCCGGGAGAGGGCCAACTCTGACATCCTCTGCACTACGCAGGCTGGAAGTGACGACCAGAGTTAAGTATTTGAGTTGTTCCTGGATTTTTCACGCAATTTTGAGTGGTTAACACATGAATCGCACACATATACACAGACTATGCATGGTTTTTCCAGTGCCTCTTCATATGCACTTTCACCTTGGTTAATGTCAATATATAGCACTTCCTTTGGTTTACCCAAACAACAAACTCCTAGCTAACTATTGAGCCAGGTGGTAATTGGATTTTGCTGATTTCATGTGCAAAAAAAAAAACCAAAAAGAGTAGGGATGAGTTCCCACACACCTTAAGGTGACTTCCATCAGATTAGAATGGACATCTTAGGTGAACGTAAGAGCTGTTCAGAATAAATCTATGTTCAATTAGTAGTATTCAAACCAAACCCTAACTACTGTTTTTAGTGTATTTTGTCCATACACATACCAGCTAGTGGCTCTTGTCCGATTTGTACTTAAACAATGCCTCCGGGCCCCCGCATGATGGCTCAGCGCCTGAATCCCCGCTTTGAATACGACAGGATTCATGGTGGCCCCAATTTCACATCCCAGATGCTCCACTTCCCACCCAGCTTTCTGCTTGTGGCGTCAGAGGGCAGTAGAGTATGGCCTGGGCCTTGGGACCCTCCACCCATGTGGGAAACACAGAGGAGGCTCCTAGCTCCAGGCTTCTGATCTACTTGGCTCTATTGAGGACACTTGGGGAACGGGGCAGTGGATGAGGAATCCTTCTCTGCATCTGCTGTCTTGTGGATCTACCTTTCCAATTAAGGTAATGGGTCTTTTAAACAATGGCTCCCTGTCCTCCCCCACTTAGTCTCAGCAATGCAGTACATAAACATCAGTGTTATCAAATAAAGTACAAGTTTTAATTTAACCCCCGTGGCCTGATAGATTCCACAGTAAGAAGACCTGCGCTCTCCCATGTCCAAAGAACCAGAAATCACATGAGAGGCTTGTGCAGAACACATACAAGTATTGAATTTTAGAGAGTGCAGGACATTAAAATAAACATTCTCATTAAGATGAGAGACTTACTGGGCCCAGCGTGGTAGCCTAGCAGCTAAAGTCCTTGCCTTGCATGCACCAGGATCCCATATGGGGACCGGTCCTAATACGAGCAGCCCCGCTTCCCATCCAGCTCCCTGCTTGTGGCCCTGGAAAGCAGTCGAGGACGGCCCAAAGCCTTTTGACCGTGCACCATGTGGGAGACCTAGAAGAGGCTCTGGGCACCTGGCTTCAGATCCATGCAGCTGCGGCTTGATGTGGCCACTTGGGAAGTGAATCCGTAGATGGAAGATCTTCCTTTCTGTCTCTCCTCCTCTCTGTATATCTGCCTTTCCAATAAAAATAAAGTAATTTTTAAAAATTAGTGACTCAGTATTGCTGAAATCCACACTCAAAACACTACAGCCCGCAATCTCCTTTTACCTACCCGCCTTGTCCCTTCTTCCTGCAGTCCCTTCTCCCCTCCCCTCCCCTGGACATACGTCACCGACAGCTTACGAACTCTGGGCCACTCACTCATAATTTCACATACAGTACACACTATAATCCTCCAGGCAACCCTTTGAAACAGAAGATAATCACTGTCCTACTTCACGTATGAGAAAACCGAGGCACACAGATTGAGGGCTTGCCCAGGAACCCCACAGACAGCAGTACTCAGACCAGGATCAAACTAAACCATCTATTCCTAAACCTACAGGCATAACCATCATGCACCACGGCGCTACAGGACATAGCAGCAGAGAACGAAATAAAGTAAATAATGAAGGGCCAGTGACAAGCACCCAGCTGTAAGAAGGAATGGATTTACACCTGCTAAAGAAATCAATTTGAATCTCAACTGATACTTGGAACGTGAGTGTGGTCATGAGAAAGGAATGCAGCGCCAATGACTGCAGGTGCACCTCCAGGGGGCGCTAGTGACACGTAAGACAACAGGGAGACAGACGACATGTTGCTTTGTATTGGTGCTTGTTGGTGGAGTAGTATTAGAACAGAAATTTATTTTTTTAAAAAAATAGTTCTTAGCTCAAACAAAGAAATGCAGATTTCAATTCTGGTACTCAGATTTACATGATTTGGATATTTACATGATATTGCTCAGGTATGTAATTCACATACAAAATGGGGGGCTCAGTGAGCGCAGGACTGAAGCCTCGTCTCTTTATGGGCAACACCAGCATGTTGAAGAAAAACCAGACACGCAAAGTCGGGGAACACCGAGTTGATGAGACACAACTGTCAAAGCTTAAGCTGTTCTTTGATTTCTGCAGTTTCACAATCATTCCACTTGTAGAACATAAAATGGTAGAAAACACGTTGTAGTAAAAATCATTTAGCACTTACTACCAGCAAATAAGCTAAACGGTTGCGGTGTAATTCTCACAGCAACACTGTGAAGCTGATAATAACCGCATACGTGGAAGAGAAAGTTAAGTATAAAGAGCAAAGTAAGTAACTTCATGCCACACACACACACACACACACCAGGTCATACACCCACAACTCTGCTGCAGTTAATCTAATCTACGTTAACTATGAACCATTCTCTGGAAAAATGACCTGTTGATGTTTTGTACATTCAATGTCTGGACCAGCGCTATTTCATAATAGTCAAGCAGAGTTGTGCAAAGAAATGAATGAATTAGCATTTCATTCAAAATCTTGCCCCAAAGTATACTACTCCATCAAAAAAAAAAAAAAAAGAAATTAAAACACAGTAGTTGTTACATAGAATTCATATGTGGAAAAACAAGGTCTGGAGTTGTGAACTACCCTTCAGCACCTTGGTCTTCCAAAGAGAAAGACCATTTAATGACTAAACCATCGCCCAGATGTTTCCTTCGTCTCGGAGAAGGCGACGCACAACTGGCTCTCCTTCCAAGGTGAGTGGGAACCCTGCCCCCGGCTGGCCCTTCGTGCTGGACCCAAAGTCTGTGGGAACCGCAAGATTCTCCCTGAGGCAGTACAGTTCCTGCCACAGGCAGGTGCAGGTTCCTCTAACCTCAGCTCAGGAAGATGGTGTCGCCAGCAGCCACTGACTGCGGGGCTCACCAACAGTGTCCCACTTGCTGCTGCCTGGCTGTAACGGTCCCAGCTGTTCCACAGTCGCTCTTTTTCCTGCAGAATTTCCACTGCAGACTTCTGTGCAGTGCCATCCCCTGGGAATGCAGTTCTGCTATCCTCACGTGGGCAAAAGAAGAGGCCTGACCCCTCTATGCAGGCATCTCCCCTAGAAAGTAGTTTTATCATTTCTCATGATCCTAAAATATATATATTTGCACTGAAATGTTTTAAAAAAATTTTTCTCACGCGTTTTTGGGCCATGAAGGTCCCAAATATGTATCAGTATCCATTTCATGGAAATGTTAATGAGAACCAGAGTTTATTAGCCAAATATTAAAAGTAATTAAGGGGACCCAGAACGTGTCCTAGTGGCTAAAGTCCTCACCTTGTACACACCGGGATCCCATGGAGGTGCTTGTTCTGCTTCTGGCGACCCTGCTTTCCATTCAGCTCCATGCCCTTGGCCTGGGAAAGTAGTGTCGTTTCGGCCAAGGCGTTGGTACCCTGCACCCACGTGGGAGGCCTGGAGGAGACTCTGGGTTCCTGGCTTCGTAAAGGCTCAGCTCCGGCCTACAGCTCAGTTGCGGCCACTTGGGGAGTGAATCAATGGATGGAAGATCTTCCTCTCTATCTCTCCTCCTTTCTGTATATCTGATTTTCTAATAAAAATAAAATAAATCTTTGAAAAAAAGGTAATTTAGGGACCAGTGCCATGGTTCAGTTGATTAATTTTCTGCCTGCAAGCAGTGGCATCCCGTGGTATGCTGGCTGCTACATTTCCCATCCAGGCCCCTGCTTGCAGCCTTGGAAAACTGCAGAGGATGACCCAAAACCTTGGCACCCCACATCCATCTAGGATACCCCAAGGGGGGGTCCTGACTCCTGGCTCTGGATCAACTCATCTCCAGCCATTGTAGACATTTGGGGAGTGAGCCAGCAGATGGAAGATCTTTCTCTGTCTCTCCTTCTCTTTGTAAATCTGCCTTTCCAATAAAAATATTTTTTTACCTTTATTTTTATTATCATTTTATGATACATTTCCATTAGCCCTGTGATTTTTCTTACTTCCTCCCCAAGTCCCTCCCCAACACTGAGTTCCCCTACATTATTACTATAGTATAGTTCTTCATAAACAGTCACATGTCCATCATTGCAGGCATGGACAATGGCAGCAAGTCCAGCATCCTATTGTCAAGATATAGTTAACAGTTTCATTGGGAGTCCATCTTTGGTTTGGAAGCAGAGATGCATACTGCATTGCATCCTCACATCTGGATATGATAGTCTCTATTACATAATTACTATACATCCTCTTAAATGAAAAGCCACAATACAACATCAACAAAAGGAAGAAAAATAGAAAATTACGATGCAATGAAGTTCTCAAGAGGTTTTGATAGTTCAATAGTCCTGAGTTGCTGTCAATCCCGCCACTCCAATCTCAGCGAGATCTCTGAAGAACCCATTGGCTGCCATGGTCCACCTTAGAGTCTCCATCTACCCAGATAAGCACTTCCAACGTTCGTTTGGAGTAATTGATCGATTTGTTCTGTCCTCCATCCTCTGCCATGGTACCAGGTGTCCTCTGGAGGCTCCAATGCACTGCCATAACCTCCATATGCCTTTGGATATGCTGTCCACTGCTCCATTTGAGCCACTGAGGAGGCCCAGCTCTGACACACGCACTGCTTGGTCAGATCATGGAAGCTGCAATTCTGTCCGTGGTTGGGATTCTGAGTCCAGCGGTTCACTTGGTAGGAAATTGCCAAAGAAACTTCAACTGAGGCCATCCCAGATCTGATTCTTGTGTGTGTTTGCCAATGCAGGGTCCGACACAGTCCATCTCCCTAGTCAGCCTACGCAGCTGTAGTTGCCTAGTAGTTGCACTTGCTGGGTCAGTTCTGTCTCTAGTCCCTTGTTTTTACACAAATCAAAGGGCACTGGAGTCCAGGCTGATCCTACCCACCACAGACTCGGCCTTCATGCAAACCAGTGGGAGCTGCAGCCTCATCAGAGCAAATTGCAACAACACCCACCAGGCTCGGCCCATACCCTGGTTCCCATCGTTGACAGTATGTACAGCTGACTGGTACCATCTGTCCCATATCCCATTTGACTGTCATACAAATCAATGGACACTGATGCTCAGTCCATCACAACCAGTCCCACTATCCAGTCCACACTGTGCCAGCAGGTGCCACCATCTGTCTAACCATGCCTGTACCTGACAGAATTTGCCCCCCATGCCAGCCTCTGCCAGCTGATGCTGGGGCAAAGCCCAACCCACCCATACCAACTCTGGCTTTTGCATGTACCAGGAAATAAAGTCAGGCCAGCTGGGCCTTCCCCTGATCCTGCTCACATGTAGGCCATCAAATGTTGCCCAGCCTGGTCTGCCCCCATCCCAGCTCTCATGCTCAACAGTGGGTCCCCCCTCTGAGTCCATCCCCACCCACTCCCCAGGTTTCACATGTGCTGGTTGGGTGCTGCGGCCCAGTCTGGCACAGCTTGTCTCACCTCGACATTTGCCAGTGGGTGCTATAGTCTGGCATACCTGGCCCATCCCCAATTCCAGCTCATCCTGGTGTGGGCTACGGCCTAACCCAGCCCTGCTAACCCCTACTGTCAACTGGCTGGTATTGCATCCAGACTCAGCCTGACCCATACTCCATTCTGGCGCTTGGATTCGCCAGCGGGTAATGTAAACTGACCCAGCCTGGCCTGCCCCTTACCTGCTCCAAAGCTATGCTGGCTGGTACCGTGTTTTGGCCTGATCTGGCTGCTCCCTGTCTTGGTTCATGCATTCACCTGCAGGGAGTGTGTCCCGACAGAGGAATTAACCAAGCTCCTCCATGCGCAGACCAGTGTGTCGATGAGCCAGTCCTACTTTTAGCCTACCCTCTGTTCCACAGGAACAGTGGCCTTTCCTGACCAGCCCTCACACATTCCAGTTCTTGTTGTTGGATGCCAAGTGCAGCCAAGCCTGGTCTGCACCCAGACACAGTTCACACATGGCTTAGCAAGAGAAAACACCTAGCCTAGCCCATCTTGCACACTCCCTGGTTCTCACCAGTAGGTGCTTGAGTCAAGCCCAGTCCGGTGCATCCCAGACCCAGCCCACACCTATGCTGAGGTAACCTGCAGCCATATCCAGACCAGACCGCAGCCTCCACCCTGGCCCTTGCACTCACCAATAGGAATTGCTCCTTTGCCAGGGCATCCCATTAGATGGGAACAGGAATGTCTTAGCCTTTGCCTTCAGATGCCACAGCCTGGCCTGACCCAGCCAGCCCCAACTCCCAACTCACTGGCAGATGCTGCAGCCTAGCCCTGTTCGGTCTATTCCTGTCCCTGGCCCATGTAACCAGTAGATGTGATACCCTGGCCAGGCATAACCTGTATTCCAACCTGGTTTCTGCACTTGCCAGTGGGCTGAGGTTTGCTCAGCCCTTCCCAGACCATCACCATCAAAAACCAACCCACACACTTGTCAAAGGATGGGGCTACTTCACCCAGCTTGCCCAACCTCTAGTTCTGGACCATGTGTTCACCAGTGGGAGCTATGACCCCCAGAGGGGTGTTTCCCAGGTTCTCCTACTTGGGCCACAACCAGACCCAGATCTTACATGTGTCAGCCGGTGTTAGGCTTTTTCCCAGCACAGCTGCCCCTCCATCTTGGTCCTTGTATGAGCTGGAGGATGTTGCAGCCTGGCCCACCCCACACCCTGTTTTAGGATGCACACGCAGGTGTTGCAGCCTGGACCTGCCCAACCTATTCTAAGCCTCAGTACCTGTGAGTGTTGGCGGGTTCAGTGTTTACATGGAACATGAAGAAAAATAATTTTGAAAGTAATTTAGAATTTAATTAGACTTAATAGAATGCACCGAACTATTTTTGGAATACTTTTTCTATGCACTCAATTTATTATTATATGATGATTGAGTTAAGAACTTAAAGGAAAACCAACTATCTTCAAAGAGAAATCAAGTAGTATATAAAATAAACCATGATCCCTTCAGCTGTGAGGGAAAAAAACCATGCAGTGGTTTGATACTATTTACAATGTGAATGGATCTGGGGGACCCTAATATTTTACTTTTACAACGGCTAATCTTCCCTTTTCCTCTTATCACCATAATAATGTAAAACACCATAGTCATTAGGCCAACACTGTATAAATGATAGTCCATAAATCCCCAAACCCCTGAGATTTAAACATGCAGTGAAGTAAGCACCCGGTGCAAATGCTTTCACTTTAATTACTACAGAATGCATTATATTTATGCTGAGTTCTTACATATGAATGGGTCTTCAAAGAGTTCATGGGGAACGCAAAGTTATAAAAAACGCACATGAATTTCAAGATTTGAGGCATCAAAATAAAATGTTAGTTGCATTTTCCCATGAGTGTTTGAAGTGTCTTCACATTTATCACTTACGTTCTTTATAAATAGTTATTCTTGTCAACATAAAAGTTATTTCAGCTTGATTTTAACAGAATCCACTTTTATGTTTTAGATGCTGATGTTTATGTGGGTCAGTTTTTTTCCTAAACTTCAATTTAAGTCTGTCTTTACACTAAATTACTGTTAATCTGACTCCCAATTTTTCACTTATGAATTCATAAACTGCATTTAAAGCCCATGTTTTTAAGGTGTAGTATATAGAAATATATTCTCCAAAACCATTTTTCACATGGAGTTTCAGTTTCTGATTGGCTCCTAGGAGGCACTTTGCTAATTTTAATTTGTTGGCTTATAATGCAAACCTTGTTCATGTTTGTTATTTTGATTTTTTATGATATGAGCATATTCATTTCAATAAAAGTTTGGTTGTATTCTGAGGATGTACCTTTGTATGTAATTGTTACATTTATGCTCATGGTTCACTCTGACAGATTTTGTACACTGAATTTAACACAACTTGATAAGAAAGAGACAGCTCATAAGTTTTGCACTGAAAGATTTCCTTTTAGCTTGTTTGGTATCATAATAGTTTAAATTTAACTTAGCTTCATTCTAAACTTTCTTTGGTACCCTAAACTTATTTTTACAACATGCTTAAATGGTGAGAAATACAGGGAACATGTCTTACCAAGACAGCTTTCACTCAATTCCACAGTTTGATCATTTAGATCAGTTGCAATTTACCTGAATGTTTAAAAAGTAAAACATTCTAATGTTGATATGCCTTCTGTGTTTTGGGGTTTTCCTGTGATCAGGGACACTTTTGTGCCCCCACACAAATATGTTTTTCTCGTGGTGGAGCTAGAATACAGGTGATCCTGTTCCCAAAATACAATAGGCAGGAAATCATCTCCTATTACTAATAACACAATTGCAGAGGGCCACAAGTCATGCTCTAAGAAACTCATTATTTCCCAGCTGCACACAACCGCCTAGGTTAATTTGTGTCTAGACAAGTGTTACACCTCTGGGATAAACGACAACAGGCACTGTGGGACTGGTTAATACCAAATCTGTATTAACAGCATCGTTGCCTATTCTATTTTTTTCTTTGAAGGTATGTGGGGAAGATAGTACCCCATCTGGAGGTGCTGCAACTTGCCCAGGGAACGGAGACTGAGGACCTATTGCAGTAGGAGCAGCTAAGCATACGTGTGACAGAGGAGGGATCATTTCTAGAGTATTCCACGGACCATGCCACTGCATTTGAAGGTTGGGGGGGCAGACTTTGGATGGAATTATCTAGAGTGAGTAAACCAGAGGGCATGTTTGGATCAGGCCAACACGCCTGGCCCGCCTGGGGGACCTGGGCTGGGATGAATAGCATTGCTAGTGGCCCACTGGTGCACTCAAAAGCTGTGCTGGGGGCATGTGTGGTTGAGCTAGGCTGTTGTACTCACTAGTGTTGCTGCAGCCTTATGTCATCAGAAGAAATCATTCAAATATTCAACCTATTGTCAAGTTGCTAGAACCACTGTGACAAGCAAACTGAGAGGGCAGAGATTTTGAGAGCGGGAAAATAGAGGACACATAAAGAAAACTAAGAATGTAGAAGAGTTTCAGAAACAGATTCAGAGGAGGAAAGATATATCAAGGCAGGGAAAACATGGCACAATGATGTGTAAGAACAAGGCTGTGGGAGACGGCTATCAAGACAAACTAAAGAAGGGTTTTATTGCGCATGCTAGCTGGAGGAGATGTTCCTTATTTACATGGAAACAAACATTCTAATACTTCATTTGAACTCAGAAATTTAAAAATAGCTCTCATTGGAGGCACACTCTATGACACATACACAAAATATTAGGAAACAGTTTTTCAGCTTGTCGTAGCTGAAGTTTTATTTTCTAGAACATTGGCTGCATCTAGTACCAACAAGTTTGCTCATGTGCAAAGAAATCATTTTAATCTCAGCTATTCACTGTGAAATCCTGGATGGTTTATGAGTCATCAAGCAATCTTACAAATGTTTAAGTGGCTAACTTACACAGGCATGGGGAATACATAAAGTGTAAGACAATGCTTGAATGGCATACTGATTGGTACATAGAACTGAGTGCTATTTAATTTGCATTTTAGTCTCTCACCTCTGCCAAACATTGGGCAAATAATCCATTTAAGTTCAGGTAAGCTATTTTGAGTGTCACGTAGAATGAAATATAAATGGAAAAAAATAAACTGGAAGTTACACATTGCAGTTATTCTTACCAAACACAAGAAATCTTTACTTCTTTTGGCTTTAAAACAATTGGGTACAATTAAAGTAGGAAAGATTTAAGCAAGCCAAAATTTGCGCATCCAATCCAAAAGTCGATCCTTGTCATTCATACTAGTCACCCACTTGTTTACTCAACACGCATTAACTAAGCATCAGAACTTGTGAAAAGGAGTAGACCAGCTCATTGCTCATAAGCATCCCGTTCTACAAAAAATAAAATCAGATTTTGAACTCTCATGGCACTAAGGTATGTTAATTTATTCAGTAGGCCCTCTTTTCTTATTTTTCAATTATGTTTACTATATTTCCCAGGTAGGGTTTTACAGAAATAGGAACCCCTCCTTTCCCTCCTCTTTGCCCCTTCTCATTTTCCCCTCCTACATTTGTGCCAGCAGGCAAGACTCCCTGGGACAGTGTGGGGAGGTGCTGGTCACCCCTGTCCATCGTGGCTCACTTCCCCTCTTTGTCCTTCCATCTGGATTTTTGACAAATATTCCCCTACAGTCAACCATATTTAGAATCCTTAAATCACAAGTGCATCCAACGGAGCCGTTGTACTGGGCCCAATTCACTCTCCTTTTACAAGTAGTACAACTGTTTGAGAAGGGTCAGAACCTGTTGGGTTAAAAATTACTTTTTTTGATTGAAGTCTATAGTCCAAAATTTTTGTTTCTGTAGTTAGGGAGTGAATCCACAAAACATTCTTTTGTTAATTTCAGGGAATTCCACAACACAATCTACTTTCAAGTATTCCCTACGATTGGGATCGTGCCTAGGGTTTACTTTGAATAAACACATGTTTTTCTTTGGGGGAAGTCAGGAAGGGCCATAACCCAACTTCCATTGCTGAGTGAGGGCAGGAGCCTCCGGCAGAGGTAACCAGTGAAAACATAGTTTACTATTAATAATAATAGTAAGCATGAGTACTTACTTTATGCCATCAATAAGTATGATACAGAGATAGGCTTATTTTATCAGCATCACAAATTGTCAGCTTATTTATGAATTAAAATATTCAGCAAATGGAAAATGGTATGTCCAAACAAGCTGGCTCCCCATGCCTTCTCTACTTGATCAGTGTATTTTAGGTCATTATTATACTAATGTATGCTAATGTATGCTAATGCAGTACATGTTAGGTGAATGTGTGCTTCTTTTCAATCTAACTTGTGCCATGATGAGGACAGGATAGCCAAACATCTTTTCATGTGAGTCTTTTCATCCTGGTTGCTTAGTTGTATGGGCAAGGTCGCAAAGGAGAGTCAGAGCAGCGGGAAAGCAGAAGGCAGAGTGGCATCGGTACATCTTGATTTCCACAGATCACTGACACATTTGTGCACACGTGCACATATCCCTCCTGCACACACACACACACACACACACACACACACACACAAGCCTCCCTAACACCTGGTGAGACACTGGTCATGACACCTTATAAACATCATTTATATCTTCATATCAACCCTCCAAAGTAGGCAGTGCACTCACTTTTGGGTGAGAAAATAGGGGCACGGAGAGATGAATTATCTCAATGCTTAAGTCTAATGCATTTTTACTCTTGGATCAAACTTAGGCAATTTGATTTTCAAACCAACATTCAAAACCATCATAGAAGTTTGTGTTAAATGTATCAAAGAGATTGGGCCCGGCGGCGTGGCCTAGCAGCTAAAGTCCTCGCCTTCAACACACCCCGGAATCCCATATGGACACCGGTTCTAATCCCGGCAGCTCCACTTCCCATCCAGCTCCCTGCTTGTGGCCTGGGAAAGCAGTCGAGGACAGCCCAAAGCTTTGGGACCCTGCACCCATGTGGGATACCCAGAAGTAGTTCCTGGCTCCTGGCTTCGGCTCAGCATAGCATTGGCTGTTGCGGTCACTTGGGGAGTGAGTCATGGGATGGAAGATCTTCCTCTCTGTCTCTCCTCCTCTCTGTATATCTGACTTTCCAATAAACAAAATCTTAAAAAAAAAATGTATCAAAGAGATTAAAAAATTCCACAAGGATGTGAGAGGAGAAGCCAAAGACAGGCTCTATCCAGAAAAGCACTTATATTTGCCAAAGGTTACAAATTAGTCATACCCACACACAAAACAATGATGACCTAGTAAGAAAAGATAATGGCTCCAAGGACCACTGTTGAAAGAACAGCCTCTTAACTGGCAGGACAAGGAATAAGAAAACATTGAAAGAACAAGATTGAAATTACAATTTTAAATTGGGGATTGGTACGCTGCAAAGCCTTGGGACCCTGCAATCACATGGGAGGTTCTGCAATTGAACAGCATGTGAACGTGTTCTTGAAATGTATCCAACCTGGATATATATAGATGATTTGCAACTCCAATACTTCTTAACATAGTTCTTAAGTGGCTATTTAGTCATATGACACGTGTGGCGTGTTGCATTGCAACACTTGGAGGGATGCATTTAAGCAGCAAGACCTGGGCAAATACCTGTAATTCCAGGGGTATGTCTCAAAAAAAGAAATCTTCCTGGTTCAAGTTAGTAGAGAATGCTGGGGTGCAGAAACCATGGTCAGGGAGACACTGCGGGGGCCCCAAACATTCTATGAGGTATTGTCTTAGATAACACACTGCCTAGCCCTTAAACATGGGGAGATCTGTAGCTGCAAGCTGGTTCTAGTCCTAGGTCTACTATTTGCCAGCTAGCCTCTTGCCAGGAAAGTCCCTAAAAAACTGCCTGAGTCTCTCTCATTCATAAATCATCCTTCATAGGAGCTAGTTTGACTTCCCCCAGAGGGCTAAAGAAAACTTCCAAAGGTAGCTGCAGATGGCCACAGTTTGAAGGTTGAAAGTGTTATGCAAACATAAGATACTACTGTTATGATCACCATCCTGCTGGAAATCATTTTAATCCTGTCCGGGCAGCTAAACCTTCTGACTGCTCTTTAGGCGGAACGAGTATCTCAAAGCATGGGAAACTACTCACCCTAGGAGCAAGCAGTCTGACCCAAAGTCTCACTGTGATACACACAGCGTGCCTACAAGTCAGTTGGCCAACCCCATTGCAAAGCTCTTCCTCTTTGAATTTGATACCAACCCATCCACTAGCAAAACACAGGAATCTTCTCCCAAGCCAGAGGACTTCAGATTTTATTTTTGGCTCCTAACTTTTTATAATCCTTGACCTGAGATGTATAGTGCACTTCTCATTTATAGATATTATTTCTCCAAAAGAGGAAGGACAAGCATTATCTGTTTATCCACAACATATAGACATTCCTAGCACATAGGGAACATTCAATAAATACATGTTCAATAAAGGGCACTCTTAGCCGGTGATTTTATTTCCATATTCAGTGATTCTCTCTTCTGATTTCTAAATCCCCTTATGTCCCTGTAATTGTGAGTCATATTATGGAAGATATTTAATTGTAGTTGATAAATATTTGGCATTTGCTGTGTTGGAGGCAGTATAGAAAAGTGGGCCATCCTCCACTGTTTTCCCAGAAGCATTTACAGGGAACTGGATCAGAAATGGAGCAGATGGACCCAAATAGTGCCCATATGTGATGCTGGCATCACAGGTGGCACCAACCCCCCTTGCATTCTCTTAGAGTGAGACATCGTCTGGTTTATTAGACTTATTCAACTCTTGGTTTTAGCATATTCTTATGTAATAGATGTTGGTAAATAAGAACATGTGACCAGAGAAGAAAAAAAAAACTAGGGTAAAAAAGTGAGTGCTTATTATATATATATATATGTGTATATATATATATATATATATATATAATACAGGCAATGTTTATTACTTTCAGCATGGAGAGTAGGGGTTATTAGCTTTTCAAAAATGTGTGTCACTTTGCTGAACCTGTGCTTCTGGAAAGCCAGGATGGTGCAGTGCCAGCCAGGAAGTTACATGAGGGTGTTGCTCTTGCAAACTCTGACCGGAGGGTGGAGATGATTGTGGGCCATCACGGCTCCTGGGAGCGATAGGGATGGGAACCTATGTGTCATGGTTCTTTCACTTGCACCTGAAATTGGCAGCCACAGCATGTTTGGCATTTGGGCCAGGGGTTTCCAACCACCCACTCGGGATTGTTGTTGACTGTTTGATGTGAGTGTAGAGTCGTTGCTAAATCTGGGTAGTTGTGGGTAGATAAACGAAAGGGCTTTGAGGTGGTGCCTCTCTCAACCTGGTCTGCAACATCTTTCCAAACAGCTGGGAGAGGTCTGATGCCCCTTAACCACCTAAATTTAAATAGTAGCAGCTCAGTTTTATCTGTACTTTAAAAATTCATATATCTTTTTTTAAAATTTGCAATATTCATTAATTCACTTGAAAGACAATTATAGAGAAAGAGAGAACCACAGTTTTTCCATCTGCTGATGCACGCCCCAAATGACCATACCAGCTGGGATTGGGCCAAGCCAAAGTCAGGTGCCAAGAGCTCCATCCAGGTCTCCCACAGGGATGAGAGTGGCCCAAGCATCATCCACTACTCCCTCAAGGGCAGGGAGCTGGATCAGAAGTGAAGCATCCAGGACTCAAACCAGTGCTCATATTGAACAAAGTTAGTGCAGGCAGTGACTTAATCCACTCTACCCCAACAACCACCCCTGTTTTTCATTTTTTTAATCAATTTATTGTATATGTTTACGGTCTACAACCTAATGTTGTGATTTTATTTATATATATAAATACACATATGAATACACATTATATATACACACATATAAATATAGATAAATATGCACTCTATACACACACATATATAAATACACATATATATGAATACACATAATGGTTACTTTAGTGGCACAAATGAACAGCCACCACTTTACATAATTACCCATTTTCCTTCTGAGGCAAAAGCAGTTGTCATCTACTTATTTAGTAAATTTCCTGGCGACATTATTATAAACCATAGCCTTCTTGACCCACTCTGACCTGTTCTTCCGGTCCTGCTTGCTGCGAGGTATCATATTACTTACATCTCTCCATTCCTTTCTCAACTCAAAGCCTGCCATAGACTTTTTTCTCTATATATTTGACATTTGAAAATTTTTGCATATAATATATAAAGATGTGTGTGTTCTTCTGTGTCTAGCTTATATCACTTAGCACGATGTCCTCCAGCTGCATCCGTATCCACATTGTGGTAAATGACTCCATCTCTTCCCTTTGTAATGTTGAATATCAATCCACTGTGCGTGATTATGAATAGGTGAAAGTTCCATATTTTCTAATCTACTCATGCATTGATGGACGCCTAGGTTGTTTTCCTATCTTGACTAATCATGAATGGGGCGTCAATGAGTATAGCTAGCTTATAAAGCAGTGATTTCATTTCCTCTGGTTTATATAGAGAAAAGAAGTCGTGAACTCACGCACAGTATGATTCTGCCAACAGCAGGTCGCCTCAGAACCATACTGTCTGGGTCTTCATTCTTAGCCACTCTTTCTGAGACCTAAGAAGAGTCATTTGTCTAGGCTTTAGTTTCCAAGTATGGAAAATGAAAAACCGGAAAGGACTATTTTTTTTTTAACCATTTATTTATTGAGAGGTGAATGACAGAAAGTGAAGGAGAGACACAGAGAGAGAGTTCTTCCACCCACTGGTTCCCTCCCCAAGAAGTGATAACAGCCAAGACTGGATCAAGCCGGAGCCAGGAGCCAGGAACTCCATCTGGTCTTCCAAGTGGGCAGCACAGGAAAAACCCAGTGTCTAAGTGTCTGGGTCATCTTTGACTGCCTCCCAAGGCACATTAGCAGGAAGACAGATCATCCACGCAGCAGCTAGCATACCACAATCACAAACTGTGACTCAACTTGCAACACCACAGTCTGGCCCCACATTTTAAAATCTTTAAGCTTTATTTTTATTTTTTAATCCTCCGTCTATATTAGTTCTTGACATGTCATATAATTTTGGATTTTCATGTCTTTAAAAACAAAGGTAAAATAAATTGCATACAAGTAAAGTGGACTGGATTTTTTATGAAGTAATTGACACATTCAGCACTGAGTCGATGAACGAGCTAAAATTCTTTTTTTTAAAGATTTATTTTTATTATTTTTTTATTGGAAAGGCGGATATACAAAGAGGAGAGACAGAGGAAGATCTTCCGTCTGATGATTCACTCCCCAAGTGAGCACAACGGTCAATGCTATGCCGATCCGAAGCCAGGAGCCTCTTCAGGGTCTCCCATGCAGGTGCAGGGTCCCAAAGCTTTGGGCCATCCTCAACTGCTTTCCCAGGCCACAGGCAGGGAGCTGGAAGGGAAGCGGGGCTGCCGGGGATAGAACTGGCGGTCATATGGGATCCTGGGCGTGCAAGGCGAGGACCTTAACCACTGTGCCATTGCGCCGGGCCCAAGTTAAAATTTTTAATGCTCTAGGAAATAAAGACTTCATAAGATGCTAAAACAAAGTGTGAAATTCCCACTTTAAGAGAAAGTTTCAGTAGCTTTATCGGAGATTACTCAGAATAACCTACAATGGAAATGTTACTAGGATATAGAATAAAACTTAAATGTTTAATTTTGTGCCTGTACTTCCTATATTGTAAATAATTTTATTGTTAGTATTAGTTGAAAGCTTATGAAAGCTAAGACATGGTGCTTTGTTAGATGCATTATCATGCTTTCTGAACTTCACAACAATTCTACAAGCTTAGCACTTTCATTACATTTATTTTCCCAAAGGGAAGACACAGGCCCACAGATAACAAAGTTCTCTGTTGTCACACCACAAGCCTGTGACACAGCCTGGACTCTAAGCTGGCTCAGCCAGATGCCTAACCACTAAACAATGTTGCATCCTTGCGGCCTGCACTTAGGGAATCTGTCAGCAGTAGCGATCAACAAAATAGACCTAGGGCAGACACTGTGGCACAGTGTGCTAAGCCTTTGCCTACAGCAGCAGCAGCATGCCACATGGCACTGCTTTGTTGTCAAGCTGCTCTGCTTCTGCTCCTGCTCCCTGTTAAGGGCCTGGGAAATCAGCAGAGGATGGCTCAAGTCCTTGGCCCCTGCATCCACAGGGGACACCTGGCAGAGGCTCCTGGCCTCCATTCAGCTCAGCTCAGGCTGTAACCGGTCAATGGGAGATCTCTCTGTCCCTCCTGCTCTCTGTGACTCCACCTTTGAAATAAAAGTAAATGAATCTTCAAGAGTTAATAGAACTTAAGAGTTACTATACCTTATGGTTCCTCCTAATAGTAAAACATGGTATTCTAGAAAAACGGAAGCAGAACACATTTTTTCAATATCTGAAAACAAAAGTCACACGAAATAACATAGAATTAGCTCAATGTTGACTTTACAATGCATACACATATATTAAAATACATTGTATAAAACATTTTTTAAAATATGCTGTACACAGTAAATATTTAGAAATTTAAAAACAAAGAAACTACACATACATCATCGTGATCATAAAAATGCAAGAAAATCAGCCTGAGTGTTTTGACACTGCTAAGGGGCCCAACATGACAGCCTGGTGGCTTAATCCTTGCCTTGCATGAGCCAGGATCCCATATGAGTGCCAGGTCATGTCCGATTGTCCCACTTTCCAGCCAGCTCCCTGCTTGTGACCTGGGAAAGCAGCAGAGGACGGCCCAAAGCCTTGGGACCCTGCATTCATGTGGGAGACTTGGAAGAAGCTGCTGGCTCCTGGCTTTGGATTGGCACAGCTCCAGCTGTTGCAGGTACTTGGAGAGTGAATCAGGGGATTGAGAGTCTTTCTTTTTCTCTCTCCTCCTCTCTGAAAATCGGTCTTTCCACTAAAGTGAATAAATCTTGAAAGATAAAATGCCGCCAACACGCTACTATATATTTGTGTGTGCATATCAAAAGTATCATATATAAATTCATTGTCAGATTGGGAAAAATACAAGTAAATACTTGTCACAGTAGAAACTAAAATCAGAAATGAGTATAATAAGAGTTGTGTGACATAACTTCCTGTTCATTAGATGGACAAAAACGCAAAGGTCTAGTTTTAGTGTTACTGAAAAAGCAGTATTATCCCATAGTCTCCATAAAAATAGAAACTGATTCTAGGTGATTTGGAAAGCTCTCTCTGGGAACTAAAATTTGAATATATCAGTTTTGTTGATGGCAATGTATAAATATTTCTTGTGGAAACATTCTTATATATAGTGTTCAGATACATACAAAGCTATTTTAGAAAAGTCATGGAAAAGTGAACTTAAATGATTAATTTTAGGCAAAAAAAATTGAAATTCAGTCACTTTTTTATATATTACGGGTTCCAAGGATCTTCTTGAAGAGCTCTTAAACATGTAAACATATTTTAAATACAAGCGATATTTGTAACAGTAAAATGTCACAAATAACGTAATATTGATTCATAGTGAGTCGTAAAATAAAATTTTACAAATTCACACTATGGAATTACATGTAATCCATACCAACACAAGCTTTATGTCATTTATTCATATATGCTCCAAGGGTAGTGCAGGACAATGGTGTCACCCTTGGGATAGCCAAATCGGACCCGCGTGTAACTTCTTGCTCCTGGTAAACAGGTTATTGTAGGAAGGGAGGCTGCCAATACGTGAGGAGCGTCGAGAGAATGGAAACACGTATTTCCAACTCCCCAAAATATAATTCCCATAGTGTTTGCACCGACCTGGAAGAGCAGAAATAACCAGAGTGGATAAGTAGGTACAATGCTAAATGACTGAATGTTTCAACCTGCAGAAAATGTCACACATTCCACGCCTGCTTTGTTTCACCTTTACCCTCTGATACAGCAGATAAAATGTTGTTGGTGCCTGTTCGATGGAAATGATTCTGTGGGCAATAACAATGCTACTGGTAGTGAAATGACCTCATGGCGTATTTGCCCTTTTTTTTTTCGAGGCCAACATCTATTCACTACGATCTCAAAGGCATCTAAAACATTACAATTATTTCTGCCTCCTGCCTTCAGATCCTCAGAAGTTCCTTAGCAAGACAGCCTTCTATTTCATAATCACAGATAAACTTAGCATGTAGATAAACATATTCAAGCTAGGCTGTGAGCAGCAGGCAGGTCTCAGGGCACCTGTTTGATAAGAATTTGGATCCTAGATACTTGAGAAGGGTGGAGAAGGCAAAGCTGGGAATCCCCCTGCCAATTTCACCTGATTTAATCCTTACCTCTCCCAAAACTAATAGCCACAGCGGAGTCTTAGTTGCCATTTAAGTCTCTGAATCCTGCCAGGAGAAAAGAGAGAACTGTAATTTCAAACAATGGAATAGCAAACAAAGAAAGAGAAATCAATATGGGTCTTCTCTGTATCTTATATAGAAAATCTCCAAGATGTATTTAAAAAACAAAGGAAGTGGAGGGGGTGTGGCTGAGACACATCTGGTGGGCACAGATTGGAGGGACAGGTGTGGAAGTGACAGGAAAGAGGTAGAAACTGGACAGTCAGTGACTGGCAAGGGCACATCCAGACTGATACATACACAACTGCATCTTTAATAAACACAATGTGAATTTATAAGTATGAAACGTGGTTGGGGTCTGGGATGGGGCTCAGGAGCCAAAGGTTTGCCAACTTCGTGCCAAGCTCACCACTGAAGAGCAGAGCAGATGGAGCGTCGTTGCATGTTTTTGAAGTTGTCTAAACTCTTTTACCTATTTGTATCTGTTCAAAAGACTGAATCTTAAAATAATCAATCGACTTGTCAAAGTAATTTTGGAGAAATGGTATTGATTATGTCACATGCAAGTTTTCATTCATTTATACCAATTCATAACAAAAGAATTACAAGCAGTAACTGCACTGAAATATTCTATTTATCAAATCAGCAAACTCAAAACGTTTTAGAATTGTGCACTGAGTGAGAACTTGGAGTGCCCTATTTTGCTGTAATTTGGAATGAATGACCTTCGTTGAAAACAATTTGCCAACTACAAAAGCATACGGCATTCAGAACAACAATTCTTGTCCTAAGCATGCATCACACAGACGGACCATCATATGAGCAAAGCCTCAGAAGCAAAGAGTATTCATGGAAACCTTGTGCTATGAAATTACTGGAAACAACCTCAACAGGAGATTGGTTAAATGCGCTACATGCACCTGCTCACCACAACATTGCTAGCTAAAACATCAACAGAATATTCTCCATGTGGTAATACAAAACAATCTTTGGACTATATTTTTTAACGGAAAATGTATTCCAAATCACTTCTTGGGCTATTGTTTCTACCACATAGTCTACACAGGCACAGAATCATTATAAATGTAGTTCATGAACAACTCCAGGGAAGCAAGCTAGATAGCTTGGGAGCCCATGTGAAGATAAAAATTCACTTTTGCACCTCTAAGTTTCGAAACATATCAATAGTAACTTTTTTCTGTTTTATCTTTTTAACATTTATTTTCTGTATTTGAAAGACAGGGTTACAGAAACACAGGCAGAG